TGTGCACAATAAATAACGAAAAAGCTTATGAGGTAGGAAACGAGAAAAAGAGAGTTATATATTAAGACTTTTATAAAGATAGTCAGTTTATTAGATTCCATTAGAAAACATTTGAACTACAAGATTTGAAGATTCGCTCTTCCAGCAATTGATTCTAAATTTTCCAAAACCTTGCCATAAAACGTTATAGGATGGGTATATGGCATTATGTCGGGAAAAGAAAATTCCTTTGTTTTTAACAAATTCAAGCTAAAATGATAGCATTTTGTATATTCTCTACATTTTGCAATTGGAGTTTATAATACAGTTTCGACGTTTGCGCGATTTCAGTAGCTTACCAATCTCCTGTTTTATCATAAACTTATTATTGGAAAATTTTACTACAAAACAGAAAAAGTCCTAGAGAGTGTGACAAGAGAACACACCTGCAAGCTATTATATCTAGACAACGTTCGCAATAGCAAAATCCAGTTGTCGGAAATAAATATGGCAAAATTTGAAAAAGTTTTAATTGTATTGCACATATCCGTTTATTGATCGGTGTGCTTGCGTTAAGTTAGGTTACATAAATTTTCGTAAAAAAGTTTTCCGAGAAATTCGATTAAGCAATAGCCCAATATTAGGACCGAAAAGGAATTATAGAGGGACGGATATTAAATGACGCGACCGTCGAAAAAGCGATAGCCCGATTTAATAACAGATGCTAAAATGGATACATCCGTAAGCAAGACCAAGCCTGCTGTGTACAACGTTAGGTTTTCACAAATATTTCGCAAAAGGTTCGCTTATCGCAATTTTGCGTTATGTCTGCCATCTTTTCACAAGTAAAACGTATGGTGCATCGAAAGTGGGGATATTCAAACGATAATAACAGTTCGTGTACTTCGCCGATGACATTTCGGCAATAACACCCCAACTAATGTTCGCTTAACATCTGGCAGAAATTGTCGCTTTCACTGAAGGATGGTAGCAATCTTAACATTTTAAAAGAACGTGTTGTTTTTTCGCAACACCGGACGCACTCTCCCCGGGAGCTACAGACACACCTAACCTTTTTTATTTACTTACGCATGATATCCAGCTACAATAAATTATGAGCCGAGTACAACTGACTCTTAGAAGCAAATCTTATACTAATTACTATTAAAATCCAATGAAAAGTATATAAAGAGAAGTAAAAAAAAAAATGACGAAAACAAAAGAGAATAAAATTCATGTGTAAATAAATAAGAGGGAGAAAAAAAAAAAAGAGAAAAAGGCTTATGAAAATCTAGAACAAACGCACACCCACTTACGGTATAGATTTGAGTTGCGAGTGAACTCCTTAGCCATTGGAAACGTGCAAAAACTTGGCAACCGATAATAGTAAACAAATTCACTTAATATTGGAATGAAAGGTACGATGTTAACATCACACAGACAAATCGCGTACATTACTAGAAGAATTCGATTTCGAGATCGAACAGATATTATTTATATTTGCAAAGGACACCGAACAAATTGAAGAGCTCGTAATTATGCCTACATTAGCTACGCTTTATGTAAAGATAAAGTTTCCAGAGAAACGAATCTTTATTTTACCAAGTAATGTCGGCGGATAGATGGAACCATTTATTATATTAATTAGAAAGGGAACTCCAGAATAAACCTACGTTTCTCTAGTAATGGAAATGGTTAACAAAAGAGATGGGGGGGGGGGCAAGGGACAAGAGTTGCTTTTGAACGGATTCAATTGGATCTACATAACATCTATAGTAACGAGACCACACGACAGAGGCATACCCTAGTACTGCTCTGACTAAGCTCATGTATAGCCTTTTCGTAATGTAAGGATACTTAACGTCTTTGGACCACTATCTTAAGAAATCTAGCGCTTACCTAGCTTCGCTTAAAGAGAGCTTAAGGTGCCGATTAATATGTAATCTTTGGTCGAATAGAACCTCTAAACGAATAAACGATGAACGAATGTAGATTTTCCAAGCAAACTCCAAAAAATCCCTAATAATTGATCTCCCTTTTAGGCATCTATGCTCAAATGGAGATATATCGGTTTTGATAGTTGATTGTCAATGGCCGAGCAACAATTCATTTAAATATTTTAGGTAGCAAACACTTAACTTGCCAATGCCTCTATAGTTATCGACGAGACGTTTATTTGCACATCTGTGAGGCGGAATAAGGAAGCTACTCTTCCAACATAAAGGAAAGTCGCCTCATTTCAAAGACTGATTAGAAATATTTGAGATAATATCGCATAGTCCGTCAGGACATGGTTTAATTATACATGATTGAATGCCAGGCCCAGGCAAACAACTATATTTTAAAGATTTTAAACAGCTCCGTTTGCACCATAAGTGTCACGAAATCATAGCGAAAACGAAATATGTATGCCTGTATGGCTAAATACTTCTAGTTCTTGATGCACTGTTAGCTTTCAGTCTCATATCCATTCGGTGTTCGTCTTGATTGACGTGTTTTGAAATCCGTCTAAATCGAAATGAATGCTTTCTAAAAAAATCTACCTATTAGTACGTTATAGAGGTTGGGAAGCAAAAGTTAAGTTATAAGGTAGCTTAGCAGTAATTCATTGCCCGTATGTAGTTTCCTCGGAGCGTTTTGAAGAAAAATGCGCAATTTGAAGAGAACATACTCTAGAAGGGTTACAGCATCTATCTATTTAGAGTGGCCTTTTCCTCTAATCGCAACAGGCCTCCATTTTTAATCAAAAATAATCTACAACAAAGCGGCCTGATTCGCTTACACAGCGGCTGAGCAGTGCGATATTTGAGACAAATTAGAGTCGATTTCGTTAATTTCCCCGTTCGTTGGAATTATTAGACGCAGGCACTCGGTTAGACCCATAACGATAACTGGCAAATATGCGATGCCAAGTCGTCTTATCCGTTTTCTCTCTATTCTCTTTTGCTCGTGCTCTTTCAGTCGCAATAATTCAAAACGAAAAATTCAAAGATAGATCTTATTAGATATCAATAGATAAAACTGGACTATTCTTTGCCGATAAGTGGCTAAGAAACTGAAAATTAAAATATATTTCAAGATAATGCAGTCTTTGGCCGATATTGATTGATTGAGCTCAATGTAAATATTGAACAGAAACAATGCAAAGTTAATGTGCTGTATAGAAACCGTTACGATTGCGATTCGCTTACAGACAAACTAATCGTTTGATTCTGCTTTAGCACATTATTTATAAAGTTTCATCATCTAAAATCATTGTCGTTCGCACGCCCGGATGTTGCATTCTATTCTTGTTTGCTGGCACGTACGAATCTCGATATTGTAAGAAGAGCAGTCTTATAAAATGTGTCAAGTCTGAAGATACATTGCTCGCTTGTTGGAACGATTACGATTATCATTCGGTGACATTAGGGCGCATGATTGAACATATAATCGTTAGCGAAGCGTGCATACTTCGAGTAGTCGCAATATCGTAGGAAGCGAGCAACTCTTCAGCTATAATTTTATAAGAAGTGAACGAAATCAGGATGTCCCCAGATCAGAATGAGTGTTCATATTGCGTTATGGTGAATAGCACAACAATTATTCCTCACCTTTCAGTGTAGACCGCGATGTCCAAATATTTAATCTTTTAAGTGTTTTAGTTGTTAAATTTTTTATCAGTCAATAATATTTTAATGATTTGGTGTTAATTTTTAGTAAAAAGTCTATCATCGTCTATATGGAGTTTTTTTTTTTTTCATTTTTTATTACCTTTTATTGTTAGTTATTTTTGCGAATAATTTAATTTATTATTTAATATGCACTCAGCTGTAATGAGAAGATTAAAGGATTAATTTTATAAAATATAAACTTGCATTTAAAAATATTGCAAGTAATCTACTATATTTGTATACAATTTGTAAATATATTGAATATCGTTGCATCAGAGCGATTATGTTAAGGCCATCAGTCCATTACCAAAACCGTACGCGTAGTAAACTCAGTGAAGAGTGAACTTTAAATATAAGCTTGGACTTTTAAAAGTACTTCGATAAATTAAATCGATTAATCGTTTAGCATGAACATAACTCCATTGCGGTTACAGGCAATTTTAAAACGAGAGTTGTGCGAAAAGCTACAGGTCTAGTCACATCGAATTATGAAAAAGTGAACCCAAGCAGTAAGCAGTTCTAACCTTGAATTGTCTGCTCTCTCCACTCTTATCAGCCGACATTGATCCCTCCGATTCATACCGATTTCAATTGATGACTTGTTGTTTCGACGAGCGGTATTTTATTGTTGTTATGACGATATACAAATATGAGAGATAGTCTCAACAGACAACGCATATTTTCTAAATTGCAATACGAAACTAGCCTACGAAGTGAGAAGAGTGAGATTTTGACACAAAAGAAAAAGAAAAATATATAAAAAAAATCGATCAATTTAATTTATACTCTCAATACGCTCGTCACTAATACAAGTTTGAGAAACTTCGTAATAAAAGAACCGCTTTTAGAGGTGCCTATGAAGGAACCAGAATTTTAGCCCATTTTGAGCGTTAAAGAAGGAATAGCTAGTTTTGTTTCGAAGTGCTTAGCCAAGCACAGCTCTCATGCGAAAATATTCTCCAAATTATGGATACTTATGACATGGCCTCTCCGAAGTTTAAAAGCCCTCTCAAAGAACAACATTTCCGATCAACAGTTTAAATATAAACGAAATCGGAGGCCGAATCGGAGGCTATACCCTACGAGGCCCATCAGTGCCTCGCAAATAGCAGAATGCCTTCGACAAAGTGTACGATATCAAAAAGTTCTTAGTAAATAAAACAAAAGATGCTTGTTATTTCTTGAACAAGCTACGCATTAGTTATCAGTGTGAAGGGTAAGTAGTCAAGTCAATGAAAATATTAATATCAACGAAGATGAACTACTTTGAATCATGAAGGTTTTAAAGCAGCCTTTTTTCTTTTTTAAAAAAATTAAATATATTTTTTTAAACATGTTTATTGGTCTTAAACGCAAAACGGTACTTACCGAAAACGCTTTAAGAAATACTAAACATTGTATAATACCCTCCATGGTATCACCGGTTAAACAAAATGTACCCGTTAAATGTCTACCTTTGCGACCGACTGTTGCTGCCGCCAACGATGCATGCACAAGAGCTCTTTGCTGGCCTTTTGCATTGGCTGTGTTTACACTTAAAGCGCGCGGCAATGGTGCCGCACGCATAATACGTTCCAATGAGTCCATAATTTAATGAGTTCTTGAAAATGTTTTTGTTTTACACACTTTTTGTTGCTGCTGCTGCTGCTGCTGCTGCTGTTATTGTTGTTGTTATTGCGGTTTTTGCAAAAAAAGGCATTTGTAAGGGATTGCGAGTCTTTCATAAATAAATTTTCATTTTTACTTTTTTTTTCTTTCGTTGTTTTTTCCAAGTGAGTAAAATTCTTGTTTAGGTTTGTTTTATTGTTGTTTGTTTATCAACCGCCGAAGCAGTGTGCTTAGTAGATAAGAACGGAGCGAGAGCGATTTCTTGTTGCCGTTTTATTTTTTGAAATTTTTACGTTTTCTTACATACATAAAACTAAATAAACTTTTGTTTACAATTTTTTTTGATTCATTTTGCAATATTTACAGAATTTACCGAAAAAAAAAAAAAACAAAATTGACTTATCTTCAATAGCGGTTTGTTGTTTCGGTCGTGCCTCCCTTAAAAGAGAAATATTCCTTTTAAAATTGAGCTTAAGGGGCAGACTGATGATTGTTGATGATGAGTCTGAATGATCGAGGAAATGAAAACTAAGAAAAAGCACACTCACGCAAAGATGTTACCGATGGACTTATGTTGCAGGTGAAAATGTTGACGAAATTTCTTCGAAATGACTGCGTCAAGATAAATATTAAATAAACTTAGGGAGGGTTCTTGCTTAAAAACAAATTTAAAAATTATTTTTTTTATTTAATGCAAACACTTCCTCAGGCATGTATGTAGACCGACTGTATGTGATAAATAAAACAACACGTTTCCCGAAATAAAAGTAATATGCCATATATCACTTTTGGTATTTCATTCAATACATTTGTTTACACTTGACCTTGAAAATTCAAGTGAAAACGGAAAACTTACCTTTGTTTTTATACCCATCACCGAAAACTGTCTTTTGTCAAAGTGTTTACAGCAACCAGGAGGAAGCTTCAAAGACCCCAAAAATATATATGTATTGCTGATCAGCATCACATTTTAAACCGATATAAGCGTACCTGTTGGTTTGTCCGCTTGTCTAAGCATATCTGTCGGTTTGTCCGCTTGTGGAAGCATTCCCCTGGCCGCCTTTAATTTTTGGCCGAAAACCACGTACGCAGCTTGGTATTGAAATCGGGCCGCATATCTTATACCATCTCGGTTTTGAAAAATAAAAAAAAAATTGATTGTGTACTCGTTACCTATAAACCATAATATGTAAAACGATAGAAATTTACATTCGTATTCTATGGATAGCCTTGCAGCACCTGTGCAAATGTGAAAAACCTTCGGCGCCGCCTACTCAATATTATGGAATATTGACATTTCACCCCTTCATCGAAACTTCTTCAGCACTCAAATAAAAGCGCCACAGGCGACATAAAATGTACTCATTATTGTTCAGTTTCAAACGGCAACGGATATAGAAGATTCGGCCGCGGCCGAATACAATTTCTTTACTTGTAGTTCTTGAAGATGTTCAAAATTTTTAATTTTAACGCGTCTCGCAAATTGGAAAGGATGATTAAAAAGCTTGGCATAAAAAGTCAGGAAGTCTGAACAAGTTTGTTGAACTCACCTAAGTAGGTGTATAAATATTTTATAGGTACTTTGTAGTCTTTTTAATTTTATTTGTAATACTATCAAGCAATCCTTTAAATACGTCCGTATGTACGTGCGTTCGTTACGTGTCGAAATGAAATATCATACATAAGTTTTCTATTTTGGGTTTATAACGTAAGTTAATTCTAAACCGCTATTATGCGTTATTTATTTAAGTGGTCTAATTCACATTTTCATATCAAGCCGACTAGTCATGCGACAAGCAAAAAAAAAAAAAAACAATTCGCGCTATTGTAATAATAGGAATTATCAAAGCGCTTTCCGAATCTTATACCTTATACAAAAAGCTTGCTCCTTGTTCGATGCTTAATGCATCAAAAAATGTCGTCTCGTGTTTAGTTCAAGCATTTGTTATTTGATTTGCATACGTAATTCATGGAATGGCTCGCACGCATGTTGCAATTCTTAATATTAAGTAACTTTCATGCATACACTCAATTCTTATTTTAAAATCGTTTTTCTTTTATTCGTATACGAAAAAAAAAAAAACTTAAATTGGAGGGAAATAAGTTTTTTTGGGAAATTCCTTTAAGTTTTTTAATCGTCATCTCTACTCACTATGGCTGGCAGGCAGATATACGCTTTATTAGTTACATGATTATTATATTATTGTTATCATCACGCAGTGAATTAATCTAAAGTATAACTGGGGTGGAGTAAGCTTCGTATATCAAATAAAAACTGTGAACCGGTTCTGATGACGAACAATAATATTATAAAAGATATCACAATTTTATATAACGAAATATTTTTGCTGCCAATTTTATTAGCGATGCACGTATAACTAACTATAAGTTGAAATATTACCAAGGGAATTTCTTTGTTATGCCATATAATTTAAGAAACAGGAAGAAATTATAATTGCCTAATAAAATATGCTACAAAGCTGACATTAAAAAAACTCTTAAAAATATGTTGCAATTTTGTTAAACAATTTCTTATAAACCATCGTTAATTCGATAGGGCAAAAGCCTATTTAAATATATTTTTCGAAAGCATACTTTAAATCTAAAGACTACATAACTTTTACAACCTGCACTTGAGTAATGTTAGAGAAAGAGAGATAGAAACATTTACGTAAGACCTCCACGTATTCGGAGAATGTAGAGAACATTTCTGAAATCTCTTTATGGTTAACAAAGGATGATTTTTTTTTTTTTTTTTTTGCTTTTGATATTTTAGTTAGTCTTTCGTTCAGCAATAGGACGGACTCGTCAGCAACGAGCATTGAGCTACGAAAAGCAAGTGGGATGTTATGTTTGCTTAAGCCCTTTAGAATATTTGTAAGGGTTTAAAAAATAAGCCTTATTACATGGTATTCCCTGCAAAGACTATATTTTAAATTTGTGGTCAACCTTTTATTATTTAAGTTCTGTTTTATTTTGTTTATATTATATATGTAAAAAAAATGCATTTTTTTTTTACTTTTCGTTTCTGTTTCCTTTAACTCTTCTTCCTTTTATTTAATTTTTTTACTTTCCATTCGCCGATTAAAGTTTTCAGGCATTTTATATTTTACATTAGTACATAATAAGTGTCAAAGCATACTTTTAGACATGATTTTCTTCTTTTTTTTTTTTTTTTTTTGTATGGGTAGTTTAATAGAATTTCACGTATTTAACGCCTAACTTTATATTAAAGCAATGTTAGAAAACTAAATTCATGAAAATTAAAAAATTTCCTTTTTTATGAGTTCATTTACGACGTTGTGTATAAGCACGAGTGTGAGTTAATATTTGAGAGGTGTTATTGTAAACGAGGTAGAATTTATTTGTTTTTTTCTCTCTCTTTTTTTTTTTACATATATATATATATTTTGTATGTATGCCTTTAGTTTTATGCTTACTTAAGCAAAATGAAAAGCTAAAACATTTATATTTTATGGACGTTAAGTTAAATGCCTGGTAAATATGTACGTGAAGGGAGTTAAAAAGCATTTAAAAAAAAAAAAAGAAAACTAATTTCACTAGAAAAATTGTACGTTAAAAGATTCTCTCTACGCAAAATTGTAAAAACTTTAACGTTTTCCTACAATGCAATAAAGTTTTTCATTTAATTCTAGGAGTAATAGGAATTTTATATAGAAATGCATTTTAATTACTGATAGTTTCCTTTAATATTTTTTCTTAAAATAAATAAAAAATAAAAAAAAAAAATAAATAAAAAAAATATGAAAATCGAATGGAAAAAAGTTAGCAACAAAATTAAAATAAGAATGAGTTTCTATTTGGCTTAGGCCGAATTTTTCAATACACGCCACCGTTACTTTGTATATGATGCAACTAAAACACGACATATGTCGGAGATCATCATCTGATTGCAAAGATATAGAATTTTTCTTAAATGGTTAGTGTTACTAATACATGATTTTTTCGGCTTGACACAGACCCACCTTTTATTACGCCGATCAATTCAGAAAAAGTTTTTAAAATTGTCCACCTATACGTCTTGTGTTCGCAAGCGCGATTTATAGGCCGCAGTTTAAGTTATTTTGCTGAAATTTGGTGCACTGATGTGTTTTAACCCGCTTTTGAAAAACAGTTTGAAACGGACCCGCTTTTCAACCACTTCCCGTAATAAAACCTTATCTTGAAAAAACGTTGTACGAATAATTGCATTATCCGAAGTGGCGTAGGATATTTAATGGTCGGTCGTCTCTCACTATAGTGTTTTCACTTGTTGTTTCTTTAATTTTATTTCCTTTTAGCGGATTTTCGAACACGCCTTGACTTTTGGCTGCGGTGTAAGCGTAATGACGAATGGACAAAACGACATTGATAAACGAATTCCGACATTTATAGTAATCGAAGATATTTATACGTTATGGGATCTTGCATTCAGGTTTTATGCGTTTTTAACAAATCGAGCATACTCGCTGTCGTGTGGGGTATAAAGAGTTAAATAATATCTACAACATAATTGTCTTTCTTCTCATTTTCGTAATAAGTGATTTTCCACTATTTAATATCATTTATAATGATACGAAAAATTTTGAATAAATTGAAGTCACTATTATAGAAGACAAAAAAAAAAATTGATGAATAATTTTTTTTTCTTATTTAGCTTTTTTAATAGGAAATATAAAAGTACTGTTGTGATTTTTCTAGTTAATCAATTTTAATTCCTTTTTTCCCTCTTTTGCTTTTAACTCTTATTGCTTGAATCTCTTTATTGAACAAGGAGCCAAAATGTGTTCAATGGTTTCCTTTGTTTGCATTTCAATACTTTCCATTTACAAATGCAGACCAGCATAGACTGAAGCAGACAGACTTGTTCAGTTTTCCGTTCGGTTGCTCTCATCAATTAGGTGTCTTAAGTTGTTTTGTTTTCCGTTTCCTTTCTTTTATATATTATTTTTGTTTTTTTTTTTTCTTTAGAAACGCGGTAGTTGAAATTCCAGTCATACAGACTTACAAGAAATAAATATATAAAGAATTGCGACGCCATTGTTGTTAAATGGCGCCAACAAGACCGGTTAGTAAAATTTTAAGACTTGAAAGTACACAAGCATCAGACTCATTGGTTATCATAGTTTTATTTACTGCTTCAACTTTTTTTCGCTATCAACAGACGACCAACATTGATTTTATGTTTTAAGTTTGAGGGATAGCTTGTCGACTGTCGTACAAATTATCTTATAATTTATCCTACTGTCTTTGGTTTGACTACGAACCGATATTAACTACGACTGTTGTGGTGGTAATGATAATGTGCCTTTTTTTTTTTGTTTTTTGCTCTAAAAATTTTCCACGTCAACATTTTGATAGACTAAAGGGCAATAGTTACACATTAAAATTAATAAGTAAAATTAATGAAAAGAAATATGAAAACTGAAATTTTCTATAAACAAGTAAGAACATTATAGTCGGGCAAGGCCGACTGTTAAATATTATACACCACATTGTCTAATACAATTCTTATTTTTATTATAGAATACAAATAAATGTCTAATCTTGTTTTTATATAAACGGATATTTTTCAAGTACGTATTTATGAGGAAGCAGGCAACCTAATGTAGTATAAGTTTAGTCCTTACATAGGGCAGGATCCAGCCGGTTCAATTTTTTTCCATATAACGACTTTTTAGGATATGACGTTATATGGAGAGTGATCGGAAAAGAAGGCCGATCCGAACTCCTTTCAACAGCATTCGTCCTTGGAACACTGTGCCAAATTTCTTTAAAATAATTGTGGCCTGCACCTTGACCACAAATTTTAATGGACAGACATCAGCCGGACTTAGATAAATTCAGATTACCATTCTGATTCGATTAGTAAATTAAAAGGTAGCTCTATCTTAAGCCCTTCTGCCTTCTGTCTAATACGTCCGCACTAACTTAAACAGCATAGTTTTGCATGTGTTTTTTATACTAAACTTTATAGCATATTATAGGGCTGCATTCAAGTGCATGAAGAATTGTACTGTAGAGAAGTACAATAAAGAAATCCCCTGACTTAGTAAACTAAAAAGGATTCTTTAACATGTTCCCATGACGAGATTTACTTTGTCTCGAAAAAGGGGCAAAGATCCAGGAAATTTTTTAAGAAAAGAATATAAAAAACAAATATTCTAAAGGTAGAAAGAGGTGCAGAGAAACTGTACCGACTTTCTTCATCTTCATCAGTTTCCAATAAAGCTCAGAGCAGATTACATTTACATTTGCACCGTAATTAATAAGTGGTAAATGCATATCGTCTTGGAAAACTAATATCCAGAAAATCACTTTGGTAAGTTTTTAGCGAACGTGAATTCTTTACTTTCCTAGGATAACATTTCTAAAGTTTTCAAATAGAACTCAAAACTGAATTAGGGTAGGAACTGAGGATTTTCTTTAGTTCTGATCTGTAAAATCCCAAGTCTATAGAGAATTAAGTCATATTTTTGGGTATATCTTTCAAAGAAATGTCGATCTCAAGTAGATTTTACATTTTTTTTTGTACTTTTTATCCTATCCAAATGTATCCGCATGAGTATGTGAGTAGGTTAGAATAGTCACTACCAAGTCAGTGTTTCCAGGTTCAAATCTAAAGTGCGGGAGAGTTTACTTTGATCGCAGATATAGACTTTGATTAGTCAGTCAGACATCAGTCAGGCTGCGACTACCACTTCTCTATCTCTTTCCTCTCATCTTTCCAAATGCCATCGAATAGGATGCATTGCCTGAATGATTGGTCATTGAAAAAAAAAGAATGGTTTTATACCCAACATCACATGTGGCGCAGAGTATATTAAAGTTGCGCGGATGTATGTAACGCTCTAAAGAACCAGATGAAGATGAATCTTTCTCTGTTTTTTTGTGCAAATCGATGCAAAATCGATTTTTGAATCGATTTAAGTCTAATATCTTTGAGATATTTCGGTCGAGCATGAAAGCTATTGCCACAATTTTCACGTACACTGCTCGTATAATGCGTAAATCGTATATAAAAGAATTTACAATTTTCAAAGCTTACTAACAAATATCGCGAAATATTACTATTTTCATATACTAAATTGATATGAAACATTTGGACTGTGTCGGCCAATTTTTCGAACCCCTTCTCACATATCTGTGCCTGCAAGAAGTTAGCCTGAGATTGATTTGATATAAGACTGAATTATACCAATTTGGGTCGCTCCCCAAAACCATGTGAGGGTCCTCTTAACACGAAAATAAAACAAGAATTGTATTAGGCGAAGTGATCTGCGGTAATAATGAGCTCTCCGCGACTACAATGTTTTTAATTGTTTTATTATTGTTATTGTTAATAGTAGTAGTTTTTTTCTCAAAATTTATTTTTTTTAAGAAAGTAGACAATTGGTGCGTTGATATCATGCAACTAATCCTACCCTGCAACGACACTACGAGGCGAATTAAGATCCTAGTTTAGCGTAATGGCTATTAAATACCTCCTTTTGTTTGGCACTTCCAACGCATGAAAGTAGACCCTTATTTTTTAAGTTAGACGCGCTTCTAAGCTACATGAAGAGGTGGGTAGGTTTTGGTTTCTTTGTAGCCTTCACCTCAACCACATAATTTATTGAATTAAGAATGATTTTTATTTGATTTTCATAGCAAGCAGTCCTTAATTTAAACTTGAGCAAGAATGCTCGTGCAAAGTATACAGTCGGTCCACTTATTCGGCCCTTGTAAGCAGCGAATACAATGCAATATAATTACGTTAGATGATTATGTATCCAAGATTTAGAAGAGACGAACTTTTGACGTTATGAAAAATTCAAAACTTTTTTGCTTGCTGTAGCCTAATGGTTTAGCATCGTTTTTTCTCATTTTTTCTATCAGAAAAATTGCACTTTACTTGTTTTAAAAATGTCAAACCTTTATCAAATTGCAAAATGTAATTAAATAATTTTCTCTGTTTTTTCCCCAATATTATTTTCAATATTTATTAAATTTTTTTTTTTTTTTTTTTTGAAAGATTTTTCCAATCAAATTATGACATAAAAATAGAATTTTTTAAAATATTGATTTAATTCGCAAATGAATGTAAAATTTGCTAAGAGCGTTTGGCATGTGTTCAATGAACTGAGGCAATGAAATTGAGCGATTACAGCGAGCTTAAGCGTAACGAGCGAACCAAGTGACCAAATGGTGAAAACGAGACGATAGTTAATGCAAATATACGGTGAAAAGAAGGTGAGTGAATTGTTTGTTTGAAAATGCTGAAGAAAGATTAACAATCAATTTGTTTGTGAGTAATTGTGAGTGAGAGCAGTTATGCAAATTTAGTGAGTTTTTCTAAATGCGTGCCTTTACATCTTTTTTTTTTTTTTTTTTTTTTTTTTTTTTTTGTGCATTAGTGAATGAGTTGTGTGCTTTTTCTTAACTTTCTTTTCCCTTGAGCTTAGAAATTTTAGTCTTTTACAATTAAAAACACTTTTTAAAATACCTTTTGTCAAATTTTTCAGCAAATTATTTAGTTTTAAATAAAAACCTTTTTTCTTTTTTCCTTTTTGGTACAGATTTTGATATCAAACCAATAGTTATTTTTTTTCCTTTTTTTTTTTTATTTATGATTCTTCGCCTAAAATTTCTCCGATATGCTATAAATGCGTTTGACGCTCACACATTGACGCCGCATGCGTTCGCATTCGATTTCACGAAAATCGGTATGAGATGAGGATGAACACGAGCCCAAGGGGAAAGTACGTTCATCGGCTAAGTCGTGATCCGAGCTAAAGGCACCGGAGTTCAGCGAAGCTGAACCAGCTGTTGAAGAATCGGAATCACTTGTGTCAGCGTCTTCGTCTTCTTCCGATGAGGTCGAGGAGTCGTGAATTTGAGAATTTAATGATTGATTCGATTTGTGATGAGTTGACGATTTCGAATCTTTGCTACAACTATTGTTGTTATTATTGCTTATTATAGCTCTCTTTAATTCGACAGCCAATACCGAAGATGTTGGTGGTACTGTTATGATGGGAGTTTCGGTATCTAAAGTGGGGCGACAATTTTGTAAAGTAGGCTGAGTCGTTATAACGCCCGTAGATAGACTTGGCAAAGCAGAATTTTCTGGATATATACGATTATCTGAATTTGAGGAGAATCGCGATAGTATCGATTTCGAAGATGTCTTATTTTTTAACTGCTGTTGTTGCAGATAGTAATAGTCCCTGGGTAGAGAAGATGATCCCTGTAAGAGTTGAGTTTCATAGATGGAATTGTAAACGGGCCTAAACGTACCGCCTGCACCATTTAGAGCCGGTGTACTAACTGAATGAGATTCACCTTCAACTCGTTGTGCAATTTGCAATTTTAGGTCACTTATAACGCTAGCAGTCGATACCGTCGAATTGGTTGACGTGGAAAATGTAAAACCAGCTGCAGCCAATTGTGCGCTAAGCAATGGCGTAAGATTTGCCAAAAATTGTTCTTCTTGTTGCTTTTGACGTTGCTCGTCAAGTTGACGACGATAAGCGTCAATTTGATCGCTAGCGGAAGGTGTGGCACTATGTATGCATCCTTGAAAGAAATCCAACGCTTCGTATAGTATAAAACATAGACCCAGGACAAGAAATGTCTCCATCATAATAAACTGAAAGCCATTGGCACCAGCCAAATTCCAGCACCGTCATACACAAGTTTTTATTTTCGTTGAATTTGTTATAAGTATTTTATAGAAGTTTATAAAAAAAAAATAACTTTAAGACTTCAATAATGTTAGCACTTTCGTTGCTGTTTAATTTAACATCTAAAGTGATCGAAGTGAATTTTTATGTAAATAGAAGCTAAAAAGTGCTTGTTAGGCTTTTACAGTGAAATATTTCAAAAAGCTTAAATTTGAAAAATAATTCTAGGCTTTTTTCTTATTTACAAAATGTGCGAAAATTTGCCTTTAAATTTAAAACGAGTGCAGCACAACAAACGAAAAAAAAGAAACGATCTCAACGACATTCCAACGTAAGAATATTAAACAAATTTAATGCAATCCGAAAAATTGCCAGATGTGTAAAGCAAACGAAACAACGAATCGATATGATAGGCTAAGCGTTTCTTTTCTATTTTCTTATTTAATTGTCATGCCCTCTACTCTATATATCTATAATGGTCTGTCGCATAGTCGAGTGAACCTGGGTCGCGGCTGCCATGCTCGCGGATTCAAATCTCAGTGCGGTTTGATTATACTTGGTTGTAATTACATTGAGTGCATAGCCGGTAACGACATAACACTTACCGATTGCAATTTTCTCATTTCTTTCCGACCATCGTTGCTCTTCATATACACAGTGCATCCCCTGAATGATTGGTCATATTGAAAAAAAAAAAGAAAGAAAAAAAAAAACCATTTTTCGATATTCAAGCTTTCTCTTGGTTTGTCGTAAACTTAAAACGCATTGTGTTTGTCGATATATACAACCTGATCCGCCGTATTATAGTACGAGTGAAAACCATCGACTTGCAATATGAAAAGGATCAGCTGTACGGAACCTGAACTGACGCATTAGACTAAACAACAAGTTCGGGCAGAAAAATGTGAGATAATTTCCACAATAGTTTAATTTTTTGTCACTTAGAAGAAACTTATCCGCCCAAAGTTAACCCCAATATGTTCTTTTCTCTAACTGTACAATTCACACTCAATAGCACTATTCGTTGCCACTAGAATCCAAGGACAACTTCAATGGGTGTTGATGTTAGTAATAATGTGAATAAGTGCTGATGTTATAGCGAAAAGTTGATTTGCATATTTATTCGCAGCTCTTTCTGATGCGGCAAGTATTCAGAAGAGAATAGGAAGTGAACAGGTCTATTCCATTACACAACTTGCGATACAAGCACATGTTAAGGTTGTGCGGATGTATGCAACATCCGGTAGAATTTGAGGTAGACAAATTTTTTATTATTGTCTTGTAATCTTGTGTTCAAGCCACAGCCCAAGGCGCCGAACAAGGTCAAGAAAATGCAATAATTCTCCCTACGAAAAATAGATAGGAAAATAAGAGAAAGCTATCTACGATTGCATTTCCTCATTTCAAATAAGACAGCTTTTAACGTCTAGTACAGATTCCGGACATTTTCTTAAGCCAAACAGTCATGCATAAATAAATAGGTCTAGTTTGGCTACCTGATCGCTTAAACGGTCCTAACAATATAAATACAATCCGTTCCTTCACCTAATGAACCTAAAAAAGCTTTGCCAATCGGTTACACCTCGACGTTCTCTAATAATATTATATATGACCGTGATGAACAAAGATCGACCCAGACATTTTGTTCCCATAGGATCCTTAACTTAATCGAACTATTCGTGGGATTCGATTTGCCGGCCGACGTTTATTTTCTAAAAATTTCAACAACAATAACAATATGAAAATGAAAAAAATTAGTAGAAGCCACTATTAAAGATTGTAAGAAATTCGTTTGTGAATGAAAATATTTTTTTTTTAAAGTCTAACATGAACTTAACTTTGCGATATTTTCATGGAAGTTTGGTACACTAACGTATTTTGATTTAGGGACAACGCTATTGAAAATGGTTCCGATCGGTCTATTTTTTCGATAATTTTTCTTATAACATCTTATTGTGAAAAGTCGCGATGTGGAAAAAAATTGCAATTTTCAAAATTTCTCGACAAAAGGCGCTGGGTAACAGTGTTACGACGTTTTGAATTGGTATGAAAAATTTGGTTTGGCTGGGGCAATTTTTTCTCATACAATCGTTCATAGGAAAAGTGAATCTTTGTGTGGTAAGAAGGTCTTATTTTCAACATTTCATCCTGATAATTGATTCATTCAATTAGTCATTCAAATAGTCAATTGAAATATAAATCAATCTTACAGAATGTGGACCACATAAATCTATATTTTAGATACCACCGCATATAACGGTTTTGACGAAGTGGGAACACTTTTATGCCAAAAAGGCCGATTTGTCAATCGTTTATGGTGAAAACTTGTTTATGACAATAATTGGACATAGAACGAAAAAGTGAACGAGATTTGAAACGTATGGGTCTATTTCTTGGACCCTACTTCATATATGATTTCTTATAATTAGTAACTCAGGAAAAGGTTTTTTTTTTTTTCATATTTTATGATGAAAATTGGTCCACAGCAGCGATTAAGCAAAAAAATTAACGATTAACGACAGGCAATTTGGATCACATAGGTCAATTTTTTTGACCCTATCATGACAAGCAAGTTCTTATATGGAGAGAAAGTTCAATTTCAATTGAAACTGAAAGACAATGAAATTTTCAGGAATTCAATTAAGTTTGGCAAATCTAGAGCAGGCCTTGCGATAATTTGCTCATCCTCCAATATGCGGTCTTTTGTGAAAACTATGCCTTTGCATGGAAATAATGTGTAATATTATTGTTCTATTATTACCAAAACGAGCGAATAGTTTTGCTAGGCGAATTTGTGCATGGTATTTAATGGTCGGCCTTGTCCGGCTATAATGTTCTTACTTGTTCCGTTTAAACATATTTATGTAAAATAAGGTTGGTAACCTAAATTTAAACTAAAATGACTTTATAAAGTAAAGAGCTAAAAAAACAAAATTCTTATATCAGAATATATCTTAACCCTTAAACTTCTTAAGTTCTTAACTTCAGTTAGGATATTGCTTAACATTGTACTTAGGCATCATTATCGATTACTTTCTGCTTTTGTTCGTTAATTAAAAAATAATTCTTCTACCATATTATATAAAAATCTTCTTAATTGAAATTTATTATAAAGCAAAACTTTTATATTTTCATCGTCAGGAGTCAATTTCATATCAAATTGAACAATTTTCCTAAAATTCTTTTCTTTTGTTTCTTGTCTATAAACGAAAAATCAATGAACATCCTTAGCTAGCACACAGAACACCTTAGCTTGTAGCCGAAAGCAACAAATTCTAGAGAAACGTCAATACAATTAAAGAAATTTAACAATTCTTTTTATTTTCTAAATTCGAAATAAATAAATAAAAGAGTTTAAAAATTTAAAGTTCACCAATTCGGTCTTTAAATTGACCATTTTTTTAAAAACCACTTTTCGGTAAATGCATGCATAACAAGCTGACAGATTCGCAGCGGGAGAAACCTAAGCCTCTCTGATGCACTTTCCTTCCATTTTTGTTTTAATTTTCTTGGCCAAATGTGAAATTCGAACGGGTTTCCTCGTTAGTCATTAGAGAGATAGCTTGTAGCGCGTATTCTCGCTCGGTTCAATCATATATGCGTGTGTATACGTCTGAGATGTCCTATAAAGGAAGTAATTATAGTTACTAAGAAATCGTAGATAAAATCGAGCGGAGTGTCCAAAAAGGTTTTTGAATTTTTGGAGAATTGTTTGCGAAAGTGCCGCCAACTCATATTCAAAATATCCTACGACGAATGGAAAGATGTCATATGGATATTTTCGCACGATAGGATGAATGTGCAACCAATGAATCGAGTCATTATGTTTTCTCTTCTATCTGATAATCAAATTCTGTTACGTTGAATACTTCTTGCAGTAGAAGGTTATACATTTAAACATCTAGTCGAAGTCAGAAAGTTTTGTATAATGCAATAATGTATTAAGTTAATACGACCGGAGGTTGCAACGGATAAACGCACGTTCAATTTCATTTTCCATCTGACAAACACTCCACGGACGATCACATTCAAAAAAACGCAGGCTCAGAAACCCTTATGAAGACAGAGGGACGAGCGAAACTTTCTTACCGAGCAGGCTGGCATTATACCCTGTTCTACTTTACCTCCTGCTTTACGTACGGTCTCTTTCGGCCCTTGGCAGACATCTTTCATATGTTGAAAAAAGAAGGAAAAGAGAAAGAAAAGGATATATCTGCGATATAACTAACATAGCATAAAGAAGAAGAAATAAATGCCTGGCGATAGATGTTTTATTTATAAAGCAATTAAGCTCCTAAAAGCAAGCTATGTATTACTGCATAATAACAATTTATGGTTGGCTTACGTATTCGAAATTCGAAGAAGAAACTCAAAAAACCAATGGTACTTTCGCGTATGCCTACATTCCGGACGTTCAGTAATAGACTACAGAATTTCATTTGTACCCAGTTTTTCTATTTCGTTGATTTTTTTTTGTTTTTTTTTTTTGTTTTTGTGGTTAGCTTTTGTTTTATGTTCGTAGTTTTGTTGGGCGAAATAGTTGTTTCGGTAAATTTTTATAATTGTTAGAATATGCGCTGGCGTGTGAAATGTTCGAGTGAAAGACATTGTTTTGTGTTTAGAATTTTCTTTTTTTTTTTCTTTTATGTTAAATATCTTTACAATAGTGGCGATTGTTTGCAAGGGATTCACATACATTTACACATCTGTCGTTTGTTGAGATCGTTGTTGCAAGCAAGGAGAAGAATGTAAAGATGTACGTTCAACTTGTTGGACGTTTTATGCATTAAATAGAAATAATTTATTTGAAAATTAATTTAAAAAAAAATTCGCCCTTTCTCAGATTGGAAGTTCTTTGCACTTTTACATTTCATATAGTAGAAGACAGTTTCGAAGCTGTTTCTTAATAAAAAGTAACTTAATTTAATAAGAATCGCTCCAAGCCAATATACACATACATACGCACATGAACATGTACATACATACATATATATATACATATATATATATATATACGTGCATTTTGCAAAATATTTGCACGTCCGTCCATCCAATCGGACTGTTTTTAATACAATATTTACAATGTATCCGGAAAAGGCATGTATTAATTTTCCGAGCGATATTTCATTTAAGTTAAGCCAAGTTGTTATGTCCCACACAATTTGCGGTACAAAAATATATTAAATTTGTGCGAATGTATGCAATGCCTGAGATAGATCCACGTCTTCTTACGCCGATCAAATCAGATTAAACTCTGTTAAATTGATTATGCTGTGGTGGACGGAAGCTAGCTAGGATAAATCCATACTTCTCTGACATTTATGACACACGAGCATATTAACATTTACTGGGGTAAACAATCTTCTATGAAAAGGAACTTTTGGGGAAAGGGGATGGAGTTTGGTTTAATGGAAGCTTCAAATTATACAAATTGCATCAATAACAATAGCAGCACTGAAGCAGCAAACATATCAATATAGTCTTTGGGAATGCTCAAAAGCTGCGGAAAAGCGCAAGAGTGAAACAACGCGATGCAAAATGAATATAATTCATTAATAAAGAATCGCAGGCAGGTTTGTCAAGAAAGTTTGGCGTCGGTTTTCATAAGTACAAAATTAAATAAGAATGTTTGATAGAAGCATTAATTTTTTGTTTGAAAAAAATTTGAAAGTTTCTAAACAAGAGGGGGCCTATAAAAACCGTTAAGTCTTTGTGGAACATTTCCACAACTATCTTATGAATCAAAATACGTGAAAGCACTTGCGTAGCGCATAACAGCGTTAAGTTACATTTTCGAATCAGAATTAAATTGCACGTAAGTATTTGCCGTTAAGATCTGAGAAATAAATAAATAAATCCAAAAAAGCATTTTAGAAAATACGCTTACGCGAAACAAATGTACCTGTAAAGGAACGCATCAAACACATCCAGTTAAGGTGAAAAAGAACAACGCCGCATTGTATGTGTGTGCTTAATTTAGTTCTAAAGAAGGCAAGGAAGACTTGAACATGAACGTTACGACTAAGAAGTGTGAAGTAATCATACCAGGATGCTTTATATTCTTTTTATACCCATTACCGGAGAATTAGGTTCAGAACGTTTGCAACTTCCAGAAGGAGGTCTCAGAGTTCCCACAAAATCTACACGATCTCGAAAAGCGTAAAACCCTCAATCGATAAAAGTTTGCTTTTTGTACGCCTGTACAATATCCGTTGTAAATTTCTCCTGGTCGCAAAAATGGTGCTACCGACTTCAAAATTCGCACAAAACAATAAAATTTCTTGCACCTAAGTTGGCATTGAAAATGAGCCAATTCTACAAAAACTTAAACGTATATTCTATGGAAATTCTCAATACCTTTGCAACGCACAGAAAGTATCTTGAAAACCCACAGTGTTAAATTCGAAATGCACCTAAGCATGTCCGCCTGTCCACCTGCTCAGCTATGTAGTGCCTATAATAAATATTCTGTTGTTCGCAAATATGAAGATACCGCGCACAAATTTGAAAAAGGACTTGAAAACGGCGTAAACTTTTCAAAGAAGACGCCTACAACGCCCACAAGTGTGAAAAACCTTTACTTTCCGTATTTTTTGCTTGCTACTCATAATCTACAAAAGATACACTATATAAATTCCAAATTTTATTCTGAGAATGGAAAAAAACAACAGCGCCCGTCTCATGTTATATAGAGTGTGGAAATTTAATTCTTTTCCTTTTTTTAGTCACTTATCCCACTATAAACTTCTTTACTTATCTTCATTCTTTTCTAAAAATATCT